CATAAAAAACGCTTGGATGCAAATCTTTAGATAGTGTTTAATTTTAAAAAATTGGTGGATTATTCCAAAAGCTACATGATCTGCTATTTCCTTATTTATATCCTGAATAAGATAAAGTATATGTTGAATGAAAGAGGGATATAAATATTATTTCTCATAAAAAAATTGTATTAATCCATACAATTTTTGAGGGTGATGTTCTCGACTAGATACGATTTATGATCTTTTGACGTATCGTTGAAAGAAATCGGTTCGATGAGAGCTGAGAAAAAGTAGTAACATAGACACAAAAAAAACACACATCATAGTAAAATCAATACCTTTTCAGCTTCGCATTGAAGCTAAAATATACTATTGTCTTAAATTGAAAAATATTTCTAGCTATTAAAAATAATTGAAATTTTAAAACAGTGTAATATTAAAAATAGCTAAAAATGTTAATTATTTAAAAAAATAAAATATTTTAGCGAATAAGACAAATTATTACATAGAATGTTAAATATAAACGATTATGACTCGTTTTACAATAATTTTAGGTAAAAAATAAATATCATGAATTACTAATAAGTAATGTTAGAGTGCATGAATGCATCATAGTTTTTTTTAATTAATTCTAATAGTATTTGTCCAAAGGACAAATACAACTATAATACTAATATAGTCCCCTGAAAGTGTAGAATTTATGAATCATTTATTCAATTTTTATTTATTAATATAATAATAATTGTATTAATAAGTTGTTCAATGATAAATATAATTCTTTATGCTATTAACAGTGTGTAATAATAGTTATATAAATTATGTTAGTAACTGAATTATTACTCTAATTGTAAGTGATATCTGTTTTTACTACGGGTAACAAAATAACAAAAATTCTAGTCAGCAAATTTTGTTTGATAAGTGTTGTTGCAGACCAGCAAAAACCATTATGTACAATACCGATTTATTACTAAACAGAGTACCTATCATAATTTTTTTATAAAGAAGAAATGTGTAATAGTATAATATTTTATTTTAGCATTCATAACTTGTATCTTTATAACCAAAACTATCTAACACAGTTTTTTGTTTGTAGATAGGGTACTTATATAAAAATATTTTATTAACAATGTTTACTTAATTGGATAATGAAAATCTGTTTTTGGAATATTACAATAATTGACATTTAATTAGTAGTAGTTATTGCTAGACTTATTTATTAATTTATTGAAATAAATTTGCTGTAATAGAGAAATAGAATATTTTAACCATTAATTTTGTTTTTATACTCTTGCTGTCTTTTGATACGATAAGTTCCAAGGGGGTGCTCCAGCACCCTAACTTCTTTCGCTAGTTTCGGGTGGGTTAAGTTTTTTTTGAATATGGTAAGCACTAATGTAATGGGGCGTCTATTGCGACATAAAGTATGTCTACAAATTAAGTTTGATAATAATGAATATTGATAAAAATTTTAACCATAAATTTATATTAAAATTATATGATTAAAAGTAAAAAAGAAACTTCCAAAAAATGATATGTCATTTGAAGCAATTTTTAAGGAGGATAAAAAAAAACAAAAAATAATAATGACTAATGGAACTTTTTGTATTACAAAACACAAACTTTCCCAAAAAAAGTGACTAGTAATTTTTTGTCACCTAATAGATAACAACTTCTCTATACAAATAATATAAATCTCAAAAACTCTTTTTTGTAGCATATCAGCTTTTGGATATGTCAGGAATAAATGTAAATGTAAATTTAAAATTTTTTTTCTAAATATTATAAATTTTGTTTAAATGGATTTATATTTTAAATATAAATTTTATATCGTCGTTTAAGAAGCAATACTACTTATCTACATTTTAGTCAAAATGAGTTAGCAACACTGTTATATGTAAAATTTCGCGTGGGATTGAATGGTGAATTCAGACTTTTGATAAAATCAATAGAGAGCGCTAATCCAAAAAAACAATTTTCATGTCAATGGTAATATTTGTCACCAAAAATAATTTTTTTGCTCTTTTGTAAAATTAACAAAAATTAAATAGGCGGTGTTGCGTCTTAAGCGACTTTATTCCAAATAACTTTAATTTAGGTGGTAATACAATATTTAAAAAGATCTGTTTAATTTGGTTAAAATTGAAATTATTTGTACAGGTAGTGCTATCTATTATTGAGATTTATAACTAATCTTTCCTGCGTTATTCTCATTCCAGCCTTCATACACATATTTCGCATTATTCAATTACCCATTAAGTACACTGTGTTGGTTATACTTCGTCAGTACCCCACCTAATTGAAATCGTCACTATAAGTTAGAAGTTCGACTAGTAGTTAAGTAAGTATACATGTGTTGATCATGCATTGGTATATGAAATAATTAATTGACTTATGGTTTTGCATATTTTAAAGAACAACTGGTGGATCCGTGCATGTTTTTTATTTTGACTTGGTCATTTATTCTAGTTTTTAATTTATTTAAAAAGTCAAGTGATTCATTTATTTTTGTTTCATCTATTGTGTAAGTATTAAAAAGGAATTTAAAATAATGATATGTTCATTAAAATATTTTTATTTTGTAGGTGTCCACACCTTAGTGACATATAGGTAATTAATATTACGAATGTGTTACGGGACATATATAGTCCTGTGACGTCTATAATTAAGCTCCAGTACTCAATATGCTGGATATTCAAAGTGACAATTGGATACAAAAACCCACAGAAGACGTTAGGTATTATAATTGTGGTGGGGCCACAGTCAGATCTTGGAGAAGCAAATGTGATCCTGGCGAATGACGCCTTCCTTTAATTATAATTATCAAGTGGCGCAAACGTCCCAGGTGATAATGGCTAATCTTGCAGCTAGATTCAGTCAATTTATACATTTTAAACAATCTAACTACAAAAAAAATTATGATGATGATGCTGTTCAAACCCCTCTAAGGAGTAAGTAAAAAAACTATTTACCAAATGAGCTGTAAAAGATTTTATTTAGCTTCATTTCTATGAAATTAATTAATTAATTTTAACGTCTATGAGATTTTTTTCAAAATTATTACCCATTATTTCTTAAAAAATTTTAATGGCAATTATTTTGAATATTAAAAATAACTTAATTGTAATTATAATATATTATAAATTTATTTGTTAATAATTTTATGATATATTATCTGATAATATATTTTTTATAAACCTAAAAAAATATAGTTTCTTTAAAAGTGTTAGTGTAATCAGTTAAATATTATGCTTAATATGTTTTTAATTGCTGAAAATTAATTGTAATTCTCATAACCTTGAACTATTTGAATTTACTATTACTGCCAAAGCTTATAGTTTTTGGTGATAAATTTATTTTTTGTATTTTGGTATTGTTTTTTCTCTTTCAATTATCTTAACATTTAATATTGAAGGTTTTATTATCGTCCCAAATACTGCAACAACTTAATAAATTAAAATATTAGTGTTTGTATTCTTAAGTTAATGATCATTGGTTAATTAAAAAAATTTACTAATGTGATTTTTCAATTTTACATAGAAAGTTATGTAAGATTTCTTTTTTTAATTTTTATACTAAAATTTATTGCAATTTTAAATTGTCATAATGCAAGATTTGTCTATTATTAGTAATCTATGTCTTCCTTTGTTATCATTACAATTTTTACAAATCTCTAAAGTTTTCAACATAGAAATATTTCATAGAAATTATAACTTGTAAATATTAATCAATAATTAACATAGTTTATCTTCATATATAGCTACAGGTATTTAAACATAAAAGTTTTATATACCTGACTTCTTTATTATTTCTTAATAAAAATTGTAGGGTATATTATAGTTTTTATGATATTTTCATTGGTAGAAAATGTTCTATGTATCATATAAATCTTTATAAAAAATATAAAAATGCTATATTCTTAGAATATTTACAAAAATATTAGTATTGTTAAATAAAATAGTTTGATGTAATATATTCTAAGCAATAATTCTGAAAAATTATTGTATATAAAAATGGTAATCTATTGAAAGTTAGTGAATATTCAAAATATTTTGATACTTTGGCTATTTTATATTTTATAAATTTCAAAGTTTTAAACTAATACTGGTAGTAAATTATAATAAGTAATTTTTTTTAATAATCTCTTTTAAACAACATTTTAATGCATACAGCTATATAATTAATAGATTATAATTATATAATCTATTTTAAAAAATTGTTTATTATGAAATAAAAGAGCTGTTTGTATTAAGAATATTTGATGGAATGTAATTTATGTTTACCTTTAAATCGTAATTATATAATTTTCCTATCTCTTGAGAGGTTCTCAAGAGAACCTCTGAGATGGATTTAGATAAATATAAAGTAATAAAATTAACAAGTAACAATTATGTTTTAAAAATTTCCTAGCAATTGTGTATTAAGACTAATTTATGGTTAAATTTGTTTGTCATATTATGTCATTGACAAATGGTATGTCTATACCATGATTAATATGATTTTAAATTTCACAATTACTAATTAATTTTTTTTAATTGAAGTTTTTATTTCTTTATGATTAGTTTATATTTTTCAGGGACAGTTAAAGAAGAGTCCAATTGTAAGGACAATGATCCAACTGTTGACTCTATTGATATTATTGGTACAGAAGAGCAATTGGTATGTGAATATTTTTATACTTTTTTTACTGATACAAAAAAAAAAGAGAGGTATCTAATTAAAATCAATTATACTATAAATTTAATTTATTCTAAAGTTATTTTGTAATATTAAATAAACTCACAAATTAAAATGTAAAATGATATAAATAATCTATTGTAATTTATACTATAATTTTCAGTAAGTTATTTTGATTAATTCAAGAAATTATTATAGAGTCTTGAATATGTTGGTTTGTAAATTTTATTTTTGTAAATTTCTTTCAACCGTATAAGCAGATACGTATAAGCAGAAAGGTACAACTACATGTTTTGTGGTGTATATATATATATAATTATTTTAAAATTTAAATAGATTCTTAGTTTCCATAAAATATATTTATTGATATTTATCTAATTAATCTTTTTTTAAATCATTATAATTTATGTAATATGTAAGAAAAATCTATAACTTAACTCAAAAGTGTTTGTTGGTTAATTTTTATGTAATTTTGTCAAGATTTTTTTTATTTATTTACTTAAATTGAGGCTTTGTAAGTAATTCAAAGTGTGCCACAGGATGTATTCAATTTCCATGTATTAAAAATTCAATGCTTCAAGGTTTTATTTTTTTTAATAGATTGAATTTTTAATATTAATCATGAAGGTCTTTAGTAATTGAAAGTTTCAACTGGAAATAAAGTATTTATAATTAAATTGAAGAATTTATTAAATTTTTTTTAAAGAACTATTTATAGCAGGTTTATCATGATTTATCATTTTCCCAATAGAGTTCAAGTTGAAACTAAAATCAAATTTCTGTATTATAATAAAACCTTACTTCCATTAAAGCTAATTAAGTTTTTGCTTTACTGTAAAATTTATTGAAATCGAGTTGAAATTAATTAATAGTATATGAATGACAAAATAAAATAAATTTAATGGCCTAGCAGCCCATGATAAAGATCAATAAAAAAAATTAATTAAATTTTCTTTTATTTACAACTGAAATATTTAATTTTGTGTGCTAATTATTTATGTCATATTACAATTTTATAAAGTATATGTGTATATTAGAGCTCTGCATTGGCCAGGTATACCCGGGTTATAAGCTAATAAGCATCCATTGAACGATTAAACAAGTCACATTATATTCCTGTGTGATTAAATGTCAATACATTAAATTGTAATAAATTCAAAAATTATAAAAATACAAACTTAATGTTACTGAGTCATCATAAATCAATACAAAAAAATTAAGGGGATGTTAGTAATGTACTCATGTAATTCTTATAGAGCATTTTTGAGGTATTTTAATATAATGTAGTGATGAAATTGTATTTTTAGTTATAAAAACTTGTTACTATTTTGTTATTTATTATCATGACATTTGCAGTTTATTTGGATTTGTTATTATTATTATTATGTATTTTAAAAATCTGATGCAGTAGGCCTAATTTTTATAATATGTTGATACTAATGAGCTGGGCCTGGAATAGACCAAAGTTTGTCATTTTATCATTGAGGTGGAGAAATTATACTTATTTTTGTAAATTGTTGTGCTGGCCTTAAATCATGGCCTATTCAGATCTCTGATGTGTTTATGTATTTTTACAAATTATTTGTTGAATATTTTTATTAGGAAATTCATGGATATCAACGACACTTGGGTTACACTGTTGTTTCATGGATGGTTACAATTATGACTTTTGGGGGTCTTCGTCTGGTTTTCCATTGGTGGCCAACATTAATGCTTTTTACCACTCATGTAAAATGTTCATTAGAAATGGCTCAAAAAGTCCTAATTGTGGTAATTTTCTTTATTTATTCTAAATTATGTAGTTAGTGTATTTATTTATTATTATTTTAGGAAACTCATAAAAAAAACCATAGAATAGAACATGTTGCTGAAATTGATGTTATAAACTCTTCTTCCTTATTACCGAGGTATGTGATACTCTAGTTTTAATGCGGTGCGACCAAGGAGAGGATTATCCCAGGACCTAAGGGCTCTCCTTATCGCTTAATTAAATAATAGTTGGCTTGTTGTTTGTTACTTATCTAGTTAGTACAAGACGATTATTCTGTTACCAATGTGTGTGTCCCTATTGTGTTCAAACAGTGAAGCGTGCCAAGGAAATGGATGGGACAAGAGTGCATATATCGAATTCAAGTCAATTGGTGAATCAGCAAAACTGTCAGTCCGTTGCCCAAATGGAACATTCAAAGGTTTGTGTAGCAAAATAATAATTAAAAAACCAAATTTCTACTTAATGTTTTGTTTTAGATCTTGAAGAAATAAGACTGTTTGATTTCAAGAAGTATCGATTCATTTGGGATATGGATGAGAAAATGTTTTATATGCTGACAGGAATCGATCAAAATATTGATACTCATGTTCTGCATGAATTGAAAGGATTATCGGCTAGTGAGCAGTATCTTCGTCGAGCTGTCTATGGTTATAATATCATAGATGTACCGTTACAAAGTGTTTGGTCTTTAGTTTTTACTGAAGTTTTAAATCCATTTTATATTTTTGAATTGTTTTCATTTGTGTTATGGTATTTAGAAGATTATCTTTCTTATGCATCGGCTATATTTGTTATGTCATTAGTCAGTATTGTAACTGCTGTTATTCAAACTAGAAAAAATCAACGAAATTTAAGAAGTACTGTTCACTCCAGTGATGTTGCTAATATAATACGAGAAAGTAGTGTGATAACTGTTCCTACAGAATTGTTAGTACCAGGAGATATTCTGGTTATACCTAGTCATGGCTGTGTTATGCACTGTGATGCTGTTTTGCTCACAGGGCATTGTATTGTTAATGAAAGTATGCTTACTGGTTAGTATTATTTTGAAAAATTATTAGTTATTAAATTTGATAAACATTAATAATTTTTCTTTAAATCTATTAACCTGTAACTAATACTGTGGGATGTTACATACCATTAATTTCAAATTAAATTTTGACAGCTTTAGATCAAGTATCCAAATAATTATATATACATTATACTTGTATAATATACCTATAATAAATCAATCTGTACTTTCTTTAAAATTCTTATACTAGGATAAAATCTTATATTTTATAATCTTATATTTGTTTTTAGTAATAAAGAAAGGCAATTTTTTTTTTTATTTAAAATTTTATCAAAATAACAAGCTATATTTTAGCTTGTTCTTACAAAAATTATTAATGGATTGATAGCAATAGGTACTATAGGTGGATACAACTTGTATTGTTGAGTATTTGTTATAATACTCTACTATCTTATCCTATTAAATAAACCTTAGTAGACAGGCATTTTGAACCTCTGAATAATATTACCAATAAATGATATATTATTTTTAAAAAAGCAGTATCTCACACTAAAATGTATCAATTATGGACTTATTTATCTATGTACTTTGATATCAATGAATAAAACTTAATACAGGTGAAAGTGTTCCTGTAACAAAAACGCCATTACCTGGAAATCCAAACCTAAAATTTGACGTTAAAGAACATGCTCGTCATGTATTGTATTGTGGAACAACTGTTATTCAAACTCGTTTTTATGGTGAAGGACGTGTATGTGCTGTAGTAGTAAGAACAGGGTTCCACACTAGTAAAGGTGATTTAGTACGCTCAATATTGCATCCAACACCCGTAGATTTTGAATTTGAGCGAGATAGTTACAAATTTGTCCAAGTATTAGCCGGAATTGCTGCAATTGGATTTTTGTACACTGTTTTTACTAAAATATCTCGAGGTGTTTCTACAAAATCAATTTTTTTAAATTCATTTGATCTTATTACTGTTGTGGTACCTCCAGCCTTGCCTGCTGCTATGACTGTTGGACAAATGTATGCACAAATGAGATTAAAAAATCATCATATATATTGTATTAGTCCAAGATCTATAAATGTAGCTGGATCAATAAATTGTGTTTGTTTTGACAAGGTTTGTCTATAATTATTTTTTGAACATTTTCTTAATTATATTTTTGTATAAAATAAATAAATTACTCATAGACTGGCACATTAACTGAAGATGGACTAGATATGTGGGGTGTAGTGCCTACTGTAGATACAAATTTTTTATCAAGCTTTAGAAATGTAACAACCATGCCAACTGATCATTTACTTATGTCAGCAATGGTAACTTGCCATTCAATCACTTCAATTGAAGGCAAACTGTCTGGGGATCCACTTGATTTGAAAATGTTTGAGTCAACGGGATGGTTGTTAGAAGAGCCTAAGACAAGTGAAGATAATCAATTTGATTTAGTTATGCCAGTTGTCGTACGGCCTCCAAATAAAGATACCTATACTACTGTTGAACATGTAATATATTGAGATTAATATTTAAATAAAAAAATTGTATTATAGGACACATTTTTTTTTTTTTTTTTTTTGACAGGTTGGGCAAGAAATTGGTATTATTCGTCAGTTCCCATTTAGTTCAAGTTTACAATGCATGAGTGTTATAGCCAAACATTTATCATCAAATTCTACTCATGTATATACTAAAGGAGCCCCTGAAAAAATTCTTGGTCTTTGTAATCCAAACTCTATACCATCAGATTTTGACCAAGTTTTACAAAAGTTTACTAAAGAAGGTTACCGAGTAATTGCAGCTGGTTATAAAGCTTTAAAAAATAATTTGAGTTATGTAAAAACTCAACGACTTACAAGAGAACAAGCAGAATGTGATCTCACATTTTTAGGTTTAATTATATTGGAAAATAGATTAAAGCCAGAAAGTGCTAGAGTATTATCAGTACTTCGATCTGCGGGTATAAGAATGATAATGGTCACTGGTGATAATATGTTAACTGCTCTAAGTGTAGCAAGGGATTGTGGTATTGTTTTACCTTCAGAAAATGTTATTACTGTACATGGAGTAACCATTCCACCCTATTTATACTTCACAGCAGCTAATATGGCCAATAACCAAACAATAAAATCAAACTCTTTAGTAAGTATTGTATGCTTAATTAAGTAAGCTATTTAAAGTAAAGTTTAAGTCTTTTATTTTGTTATTAAAAATTTTAGAATTCAGGTAATCTTCAATCTTCTATAAGAAATAAAGATTACAATGTAGATGTGTTAGAAGCTGGCTTATTGAGCCCTAGTAGTACTACAGCCAATACTCCAATGGAAAGGTTTGCAATAATTTTGTACAATTTATGAGTTTTCATGTAATTAATAATCTAATATATACTTCCAGAAGTTCTCAAAAATATAGCTTTGCATTAACGGGTAAAACTTGGTCACTACTTAAGCAATATTGTCCTGAATATATACCAAAAATTATTACAAGAGCTTCTGTATTTTCAAGAATGAGTCCAGATCAAAAACAACAATTAATTCAAGAGCTGCAAGGAATTGGTTACTATGTTGGTAAGTTGAAAAATGTCTTTTAACATACACCAAAAACAACTTTGAAACTTAATTTATTATCTTATAATTATAAATTTGTTGTAAAATAATGGAAATTACATTGTTATAAAACAAGTATAAATTATAAACTATTAGAGAAAACTCATATTTGGTGACTTCTTATTGAAGTTACTATTATAAACAATTTTTTTTTTTCGTAAGTTTTAGTCAAATAAAATTAAAGATCTCTTAAAATATCACAAATAAAATTTTTTCCATCATAGAAATTGTCAATTTATTATATAAAAGGCCTCAGTTAATAGATTTGCTAAATAAATGATTAAATTATTAAAAATGTATGTTTTTTTTTTAACAAGAATAAAATCAAATTTTTAAATCAAAGTTATCTTTAGTTACAATTATAATAAATTTTATCTATTTGCATTACTAAGATAAAGGTGTATTTAAATATTTAATGTTAAAAACTGTTAGCATTGTAAAAAGGTTCCCTTTTAAAATACAGTACTAATTTCTCATTAGAGAACCAATGATAAAAGAGATGAAGTTTGACACCAGAGCTTATATGAAACTAGTGTATTCACAGTGCCACATTATACCACCTATCAATACTACATACACTATGTATTTACAACTAAATATGTTACATCATTAAATAATTACTCAGTCTATATATAATAACTAAAGTCAAAAAGTGTATCACTTTATGAAGTTTGCTGGTTTAGGCATTTATTTATGTATTATAAAAATTTAAAAAGAGACGTGGTAGAAATATGTAGACATATTTAGTGTATTTATCAGAAAATCAATTCTTTTTTTTTTTATGATATAATTTGTTATTTATAAATTTATTATATGTATTGAAAACATATAATATTAATATGTTAAAATATGTTATTTTTAATTATTCTTTTCATTCAAAGTTGTATTTACGTTACAGCCATGTGCGGTGATGGTGCTAATGATTGTGGAGCATTAAAAGCAGCACATACAGGCATATCTTTAAGTGAAGCTGAATCATCAGTAGCTAGCCCATTTACTTCTCGGAAAGCATCTGTTGAATGTGTTGTTAGAACTATTCGTGAAGGGCGTGCTGCTCTAGTCACTTCCTTGGGTATATTTAAATTCATGGCTGGTTATTCTTTGATACAATTTGCTTCTGTCATAATGCTCTATTCAATTGATAATAATTTAACAGATAACCAGTATTTGTACATTGATCTTATTACTATATCATTATTTGCATTTGCTATTAGTAGGACACCATCATATGAAGGTGCATTAGTCAAACAAAGACCTGAGACATCCTTAGTTTCTGCTTTACCATTAACCTCATTGATTGGACAGTTAATTATTTCTATAATATTTCAGTTAATAAGTTTTACTATAATCCAATATAATGATTGGTTTATTCCTTACGACTCTAATTCAGCTTCACCAGAAAGTTATGAAAATTATGCAATTTTCTGTTTGTCTGCTTTACAATATATAATCATAGCTTTGGTGTTCAACAAAGGACCTCCATATAGACAGGGTTTTCAATCCAACTGGTGTTTAACAACTGTATCAGTAGTCATGCTAGTATTTACTACTTATATATGTATATCACCAGCCGAGATCATAAGATCAATATTTGAACTGAAAATTCCTCCAGACAATACTTTTTGTTTTATTATACTGCTGCTGGGTTTATTTAATTTATTCCTATCTGTTATTCATGAAAAAATATTATGTGATCGTTTGCTTGTCAAATTTTTAAGCTCACGGTAAGAAAATTCATACTTATCATAATTTAAAATTATTAACTGAACAAATTTTTTAGATCTCATAAGTGTAAAAACTGGGTAAAAACATATGCAGGTTTAGAATATGAATTACAAAAATCACCTGACTGGCCTCCTATAAGTAATGATCGTTTTAGTTCTTCTTCATCATCTCCATTTTCATATACATCTCCAGATCAATTATCTCCAACTACAAGATCAATTGCACAATCAAATGGTAGGCTTAAGGAATATTTTATATTAATTTATAATGATAAAAAATTTAAATTATTTCTAGGATATTCTTGTAATAATGGTGTAAATTTATTGCATCGTCGTTTTCATTCTGAAAGTGAAGATTCAACTTATGCTACTCCAGCTGGAAGTTTACAACACATATGACTAGTGTTAATTTTTATGAACTATTTAATTTGTACTTAAAATAGTTACCCTTAGAGTTTTTGTATTGTTAGAAAATTGTAGTAATTTTATAATTGTTTTATCAAAAATCTCACTTTAGTACTCTTTTACAAAAAAAAAAATGTTACTATTGAGTAATGTTATTAAATATTGGTTTGACCAGTTATATTTCTAAATTTAATATGAATGTTGGTATTAATGTGTGTTCACTTCATTTTTTCACATTGATTAATATTATGTGTTTATAACTTATCAAGATCACTCAATAATTAAATTCTATTAATTAAAAAAATTAATTTTCTAATGGTATATTATGTACATAAATATTGATTGTAACACAAATTGTTTATTTTATACAATAGTTATTATGAAAATTTACTTATTAGTCTTAAAAACAACATTGTATTCTAAAATTTTACTTTTTAGAAGCCAAATTAATATTTTTTCTTTTTTTTTTTTATTAATTTAAAAAGAAGTATTGTTATTTATTATATTTCTTGAACAATTAAATTGAAAAATAGTATAGATGGAATATTTATATACTAGAATTCGCCTAGCTAAGGTTCTCTAAGCCTCATGTGTTTTTGAAACATAAGCTTCTTATTATTAAATCTTTATAAGTAGGATTATGTATACGGAAAACTATTGCATCAAAATCAGTGTAATAAAAATTGAATTATTAAAATTGGGGTAATTTATAAAGAAACATTTAAAATTGTTCAGAAGCTTTATTTAAAACTTTATAGCATTTAGAAATTATGATAATTTAAAATTTTAAAATATAGTGACAATTAAGTTATTCTCATGGCTTACACTTTTAGAAAGCAGTACTTTCAAAAAGTCTTCTACACTTTATTAACCTTCTAATTTGAGTCATTATTGGGCCCCAATTAAGTATTACAAAATAGCTACTAGTTATTATGTAAAATAAAAAAATTATGACAACAAATTCTTTATTTATCCTTATTTTATATAAAATATTTAGATATAAAATTAATATACACAGTATTTACAATATTTTATTACATAATGATGACATAAATTAATAAATAACTTCAAAAAAAGAAATTCAACATGTATAATATATATATTTCTAGGAATTGGGGACATATAATTCTTTGTATAGTAAGGTAACATTCATAAGTTTTATGAGCAAAAATTTCCTATAAGAACCATTCCTCCTGTTATTATGTTAATTTAAATTGATTTGTTTACAAAACAAATTGCATAAATTCTTTCATTTAAACATACGTAATCATAATATACCATTTGTGTAGTATTGAAAACCATCATACAATTTGGTCGTGATGGAATGCAATGATGATTCTACCATATTATCCACGAGTGTAATTAATTGGCTTTCAGTTAAGTTTAAATGAAAACGACATTTAAGAGAACCTATTACAGCTGTTGCTCCAGCTTTAAAACATGGTAGCTGAGAATCTATAATATATAAATAATATTGAATTCTTCAGTATATTCATAACAATAATAAATTCTTATTAAAAACTTACTAGCAGATTGCATAATTTGAACTAAAGATAATACACGGTCCATGTGTTTACGTGATGCTATAAGACCTTTAAGAATAAGTTTTTTGAAATACTTGAATCCCTCAGAATTTAGTCCACCCATTACATCAACCATTTCAGAAGTTAATTTAAAAGGTGAACTTTCAAATCCAAGATTTTTTGGAGATGCTGATAATATGAACCCAAAATCAATATGAATAAGATTTCCTTGGTTATCAAGTAATATGTTACCATTGTGTCGATCTTTAACTTGGATTAAATAACAAACAAGAGAATATGCAGCACAACTATGAATAAAATTTTGACGAGCGTCAGTTAATTTAATATTTTCTTTAAATTCTTTTTCAAAATATTGCAACAAAGATATTTTATTTTGTTTTTTAATTTGATGTAAAGATACAGTGTTTAAAACTGGTTCTATTAATCCAGCATCATTAGATAAACATAAAATTCTGTAAGGAAACACTTGTAATGGTACTTTTTCCGATAACCATATACTATGCAATGTAAGTAATAATTGTGAAGCAAGAAGTTCTTGTCTTAAATCATCTCCCGTTTTAATTATTACAGGCAAGAGTTTCCAATTGATCAGACTACCATAAGGAGAATTTTCTCTAACCCTTTTTTCTTTTTCTGACCAAAGTTCTTTCAAGGCTGCAGCAGATGGATCTTCAGGATCTGTAGTTGAAGAGCTTTTAATGTCTGTAGATACAGTGAGACGACGCCTTATGTCTCCAGCAACAATAAACATATTTTTATTAACTTCTGGTTTATTAACCTCAGACTCGCATCTTATAAGATTTTCTGCACTTCGACTTTGACGAATATTAGATACACGCGTAGTTAGTGGAGAGCGTTCAGCATCTTCTACTTCAGCCACTTCAACATATATAACAAAAGGAGCCTAAAATATTTAACCGATTAGTAATTATAATTGTATAATCACAATAATAATAATACTTTATCTTTTGAATTCAAAACAGCTGCAGCACGGGGAGGAATAGCTAAAACATGATGGCTGTTATTATACAGTGGTATCCAAACTTTAGCTGGTAAATTTTTGTTAATAAGACTCAATTGACTATAAAGATAAGTAGTTTTAGATTCTTTGGATGGTTGATTGGTTAAATCTCGTCCTAGAGCAATTAGACATTTGATAAATTCTATTTCAGAACTCATCCTTGGAGCCTAAAACACAATTAACATTTGAAAACTGATTATTTTATACAAAATATTTTATGATGTTTGTCAATTTACAATTAAAAGTTTCAATTTTTAATGCTGTATTAAAAATTAATTTATTTGAACTTATGATCAAATATTCATTATGTTATTATTACTTACACCACATTGGCATTTAGTATTTTGATCAGTACATGTACAACCATTATCAAAAGCCATACCAGAACTCAAATCACCTAAAAAACTACGCTCCCACGCTAAAACACATAAACTTAAAATTAAATTTATACTTCATTAAAGCTATTAATGACTGATATTAAAAAAAAAAAATCAAAATTCTGAAGCTTGCTAACTATCAGAATGAATAATATAGAAAATAAGAATAGGTAATTTTGTTTAAACTAGTTATGTCCTGGATATCTTTTTAGAAAAAAATTTATTTGAGAAATTTTAAACAAATAATTAAAATTCAACTTTTTTTCAACTATTAAGTTGGTTAAAATCAACCAATTAAGATTTTAAAATCAATCTAAGATTGGTATATCTTGGAAAAATGAAAAGTACAATGGTTGTCTTCTGTACTCAGAGCCAAAGAATCAGTAATTGTTGAAATTGATGTATTTTAATCATTCTATTACTAACAGTTTTAAGTATCAACAATTTTTTAATTTCAAAATAAATTACCAATTTGAATTCCACTGAAATTAACCATAGAACTATCTGATCTAGAGCGACAGTGTGTCTTCTTAGTCAATAAGTTCATAGACTCAAAATTAGATTTTTCATTTTGGCCTTGTTTGTAATGTTCATTAAGAATTGTAGTAATCAATTGTCCACCGTGAGATTTATTTTTCACATTTGTAACATTAAAAGCATTTAAAAGCCAAGCACATTTAATAGAAAAGTTACATGATTTACGACACCTAGAAGGAAAAAATAAAATTATATTCAATTTACTATTATATCTATAAGTTTAAAAAAATACCTGTGTACCAAGTATGAATCTATAGCTTCTGCTATATCATCCATTTGTATATACATAGTGATTAATTGCGGCAAGTAAATATCCACAGAATTGTTATCAAAACTGAAAAGTTTATCACCTTTAAAAAATGTTAAAAACCATTGAAAAAAGTAATTACTCGTTAAAAAATATATTACTAATATTTTACTATAACATCATAGAATAATTGAATATAATTTGATTTCAATGTCTATATTATTTATTGATTATGAAATAATTATTTTGTTTACAACCATTGTTTAAATTAAGATAAGGATGGATAGGAGCTTTACTGTTTTATTTAATATTAAATATCCTCTTTTACTTTTTTTAATGCGATTTATATTGCTTTTTGAATAGTGACATAATTAAAAAAAAAAAAATTGTACAAAAGACTAATAAAAATTGTAAAAAAATTCAATCAAACACTTACTAAAATATAAGTAATTAATAATTTCTAAAAGCTGTAATTGGATCGTATTCTGTATACATCGGAGAATTTTTTGAGAACAATTATTTGTGTAACTTGAATAACTTACCAATATAACGCTGAACACCAGGTTCTTTTGAATTGAAAAGGTATGTAATGGCCATGGACATATCAAATAATTTAGATTCAATTAATCTGTGAAGAAAGCTTTTGGAAACTTTATCAAAAATTTGTGATTTACAATTATTTTGTTTTGAAGGACTAGATTCTGAACAGCTGAGACTTTCGTGACTACAGCTGCTGGTTATTTCAGTGCTATAGAAATGTATAACTATATGACAAATTATTAGTTGCTATAATGTTACATGATAAACTTTACCTTCCAATACCCGAATCATCAGAATGGATATTTGGGTCAGATATTGGCATCTGGTTTTGTTCAGGACATTCAGGACTAGGAGTCGCATCAATTTCAGGAATTTTTGTTAAAGCAGAATCAAGACTACGGTTTCGATGATGTGAAGAATGATTTATAGGTGGTAATACTATACCCATTGACCTATTTATACAAAAATAAAGAATATATGAATAAATTTTTATTAATTGTTATACAAGTAAAAAAATAATTAATTTAAATAATAGTTATAGTTTATTAAAACTAAAACTATAATTTTATTAAAAAAATATATTTTTAGACATATTAAATAAATCATAATTAAACAAGAAATTCTATTCATGTCTTCTTTTATTAAAATGTTTGTTTGTTTAAACAAACAAATTTACCGAAAGTCAAGACTCAGATTCCTCTGATGGTTACTATTTTTATGTTTACTAAATGCTGGTCTACCATGAACAGGTGTTACTGAATTTGTAACAGCCACTTTGGTTGGTAAGTTTTGGTGCATAACTGTATTATTAAAATTATTCACAGGTAATCTATAAACAGAAAAATTATCTCTGAACTTACAGTAATTTAATTATAGTAAATGTGTTGAAAGAAAAGATTTATTACTTTCAAAATATTGGTATATTTTTACAAGGCCGAAGCCTATGGTACGCCAATATAACATAAGGCACTACGTTAAGAGTATTTTAATAATTATAATGAAAATTAAAGTAAAATATGATATGACTTGGGTACTAGGCACTTACTGAAATGGCTTTCATAAAACCAAAAATTCAATTTACAAAATAAATGTACATTTTTAAAAAATGCCAAATACACAATAAAAGGGCGTACAATTTTATAAACAAAACAATAATTTGAGGTTAACTTTTATCTGGTTAAAAAATCTTATCTCGTGAACTCGGTTAATGGTTACATATTATTGACGAAAATAATTATTTAGATAGGTTCATTGATGATGTTTTGTTGATTTAATACTTAAACAATAAAATAGGAATATAATGACTAGTGTTACGTATATTAATTATTTGATATATTTGAAAATATATCTTAAGTAGTTATTGTGATTTTATTATTTTTAATTGATTTAATTATTATATAAAATTATATACATATAAAATATGGATCTTTCTGGCTTTTGTCGGTTTTGTCTTTCTGATGAAGAAGCTCAAATCTCTATTAATGCAGATCCTGATCTTATAGAAAAAATTAATTTATGTTTACCCAATAAAGTATGTATTTAATGCAAAGTGAGAACGTATAAATTAATATAGGTTTCAAGTTGGATAGTTTAAAAGTCATTAATATTTTAAAATTGCTCTAAGTCTGACTTGTATTCATAGTACATTTGTTAACCTTTTGTCTTCATCTTATTCCATTAAAAATATTATTCTCAACATCTGATGTCAATGCACTACAGAGTTTGTAAATGTGAAAAAAAAATCAGTATGTATACTGACCATATTTAAGATTTCTTTATTTATTTTTGGTTTTTGAAGTCAATGGGATAAAATGCTTTAAAACATACAAAATTTATCAAGTGATATATATCATTAATCAAGAGTTTTGAGTTTAACATGGCAAAGAAGAAGAATTCTAAAATTTTCCTCATCCAATAATTGGAAATATTATACATTTTTCTCTCTTAAACATTTATATTTACTATTTTGTTAAGTTTTTAATAGATAATCTCACGGGCACAAATAATGTTGATTTTTTTTTGTAGATTAAAAATGATAAGCAGATTTTAGATATTCTATATTTTTTTATATCAAATGGTGAAAAATGTTTAATTACTCATCAGTGATTTTTTTACATTTGCAAACATTTAGATTGATTAAAATGGAAAAATATTTAAATAACAATATTATTATTTTTTTCTACTTGTAACTTTTCCCTTTTAAAAATGATGTTCTATAGTTAAAATCCAATGTAGATAAAAGCAAAGTTTAGTTTCTGTTAGTAAAACATATATTTTAAAAAGAAGACCTTTTTAACGGGTTGATGATAGCTTTTTGGGGGAGTAATTTCTTTTATAGACCTCTACTTGTGTACACACATCATAAAAATGTATAACCTATTCTGATTGTTTTAACCTCTAGAAACAATGATAACATAATTTTATAATTTATATACTTTTTTTTAGTGACTTTAGAGTAACAAAATATGAAAAAAATTTTAAGGATATTATGGATAGATTATTATTTCATTGTTTTTTATTGAAAACAATTTAAATTTATAAATTAATATAAAATTATTATAAATTTAATTTGATATAATATGACTACCCTATTATAAATACTGAAATTCTAACACCAATTATTTGTTTAAGTTTTCAGAAGAAGATTCATTTCCAAAAATGATTTGTAATAATTGTCATCAAAAATTGTTGGAAACATACAACTTCTTTATATGCATCCAGGATACTGAAAACCATTATCGGGGTATCTTAAGTGAAACGGTAATATTTAAATCCTATTTTGCATAAAATTAATTAATTAAAATCTATTGATAAAATACTTAATTTCACTAGCTATTTTTATTTATTTATTAAATAACTTGAATACTTATACCTTTTTTAACCAGTACTAAATGGTATTGGTCTTTAATTCCATGTATTATATCTCTATTACTCTATTTTAATTTGGATATTCATCATTTTTTTAGTACTGTAATATAAAGTTTGATTTTAGCTTCGATGCGAAGCTGAGAAGGTATTGGTTTTACTATTATTTGTTTTTTTTTTTTTTGTGTCTGCTACCACTTTTTCTCAGCTTTCACCAAACTGATTACTTTCAATGATACGTCAAAAGATCACAAATCGTATCTCGTCGAAGATATTACCCTCAAAAATTTTAAAAATTTCCCTCATTCACCGTAAATGGGGGAAACCTCCAAAAAAGTTACAAATTTAAAAATCGCTAATTTTTTCAATTTTTTTTACTTAAAATAGGCATAACTTTCTTAAAAATGAACAAATCAATATCATTTTTTTTTTTAGATGCTTGATCTCTTTACCTATCATTTGGTATATTTTTTTTATAAATCTGACCCTTTACCTGCCCACAGGGAGGATTTAAAATGACAACTTTTTCACAAAAAATTAACTTTTTCAACTTGACTTTTGAAAATGTTCCGGAAAAACTGACACTTTTATATATATCTTAAATTAAAGCTAATATAATATAATTTATCATGGAAAAAAAAAATTTCGGAATTTATTTTATCTTCATGGTGAAAATGGCTACCAAATGCTATTTTTGTGTCAAAATTCTCGATTTTATTTTTACCTCTTTAACTTTATAATGCTCTTAACTTATTTAAATGTGTATGGATCAACCAATTTTTTTATGAGAAATAATATTTTTTAATAATCCCTTTTTTATTGACATACTTTATCTTAATCAGGATATTAATAAGGAACTAGCTGATCATGTAGTTTTTGGAATAATCTACCAATTTTTTAAAATTAAACTCTATCATAAAATTTACATCGAAGCTTTTTTTTTTATAGTGATTTTAATCACTGTCAGATATCATTATGCTTGATCCAACTATGCTACGTCACCACTGTGCCACGACCTCCCTGTGTTGGGTTTTTTTAAAGTATTTTTTTGTATGAATTGAAACATTTTAAGTATTTAAATCACCTAGTACTTTCTAAAAAAACCTAAATTCTCTAGTACATCCATTTTATCAACAAAATGTGTTTCAATGCTTCTATAATTATTAATTAATATTTAATATACCAGTCACAATTATACTCTTTACAATTTAAAAATAAATCACTTTGGCACGTTTAATTGACCATCATTTATTTATTGACCACCATTTCATTATTCATTATAACTCCCTAAGCAATGTGCTCTAATTAACAACTATTGGTTGGCAATACTGTCCTACTAAGCAAAAGTGCTGTAACTCAAAAAAAAAAAAAAATTATATATGGCATTTAATGAATTTACCAATTATGTACAAATTTTGAAGAAAAAGTACCCTTAAAATAGTACTAAATAAGTTATAAAAAAAAATGGTGATTCTTTAGAAATGCAGTAAATAACAAAATAAATGATTACTATTTTATTATTATATTATCTTGCAAAAAAAAGCCATAATTTTTTTTTAAGATATGGCATTATTATCTAATATTAACTTATTTATCAAAGTTACAGCAGTTTTGTTTAGAACTACAGATTTTCTTTAGAAGTAGCAGCATTGTATATTGATAGTTTTTAAATTGTTATCATCACTATTATTTAAACAATTTATTTTACACAGTATACTCAGATAACAAAATGAATTAATTTTTTTCTGATTATCATTTATTTAGTATATTCATAATTATTATGAATCTAGTATTTTTTTTTTATTTTATGTTTTATAAAAAATAACAGTATTTAAAGTAACAAAATAATTTTAACTTTGATAATATATAAATTGATGTTTTATTTTATATTATAATATTTTATGTAAAATATTTTATATGACATAGTTATTTACTGTATTTTACCTTTATCTTTATTTAAAGTTAATTTATAATTATTAAGCAATAATATCATAAAATCTACTTACGGTGTTATTTCTTAATAAATAGGTATACATTATACATATTTATGTATAATCTTGATCACCTTTGGCACTGTACAAAGAATACAATGTCAATATAAAACATTGTAGGGTTTGATATTATGTAAATCAGTAAATATACTAGCAGTTATTATCCAAACAAATTGTGATATTCATTTATTTTTATTATACATTTTTCATTATAATATAACTTTTATTTAATACTCTTATCTTCAGTAATGATTGTTTTTTTTTCATAGTTTTTATAATACATTAAGTATTTTCATAATATTTTTTTTATTAAATTATTTATAAAATAATGTTATACTTTATAGAAACCACATACAAGTGAAAGTGATTCAGAAATTAAACCTTTAACTATAACCAGGTAATGTGCATTAAATTTGATATAATAATAATATAATTAATTATTTTATGAATATATTATATTCTTAATTATTTTTATTTTTTTAAAGTTATCTTTTTTGTTAAGTTACAGATATTGCAATAAATTTTTGATTTCCTTAAATACACTCCTGTAAACTAAATTATGATTTATTTGCTTAAATTAATTAATAATATTTATTTAATTTTTTCATAAATAAGATATCATTATATAAAAATTGTATTTAGTACTATTTTTCTATCTAGGCCAAGTAAAAGAAAATCTGGTCCATGTCAGCGAATATCAGTAAAATCTTCTAATAAACTTTTTTCTGAAGAAACATTGACAATCCAAAATGGTGAATCAACAGAAGTGCAAGATGTTCCAATAAAACAACAAAGCAAACCAATATATGTATGTGAAATTTGTGATAGGCAGTTTCAAAATCTATTGGCATTTAACACTCATGTTTTAAATCATAATAATGAACCTCCTGCTATATCTTGCGAATCTTGTGGTTATACAACTCAACATCGTTCATCAATGTATCGCCATCAAAAGCGACATCTCAAACAATCAAAGTTTACATGTTCCGAGTGCAACAAAAGTTTCATCACAGAAAGTCTATTGAATGAACACAAAAATAAACATACAGGAGATAAACCATTTAAATGTGAAGCATGTAAAAAATCGTTTTCATTATCTAGATACTTGGCTACACATATGAGATTAATACATGGGGATACTGTATCCTATGTATGTAATCAGTGTGGTCGTAAATTTGAAGATAGAAGTTCACTTGCATTGCACCGGCGTACTCATAAGAGAGCTATGTCTTGTTTGTGTGATATCTGTGGTAAAGAACTTTCTAGCAGAGAACATCTTAAATTGCATAAAAGGTTACATACTGGAGAAAAACCCAATGTTTGCACCTATTGTGGTAAAGGTTTTGCTAAACAATGTACATTAGTTTTACATCTAAGAACACATACAGGAGAAAAACCATATCAATGTGATCAATGTGGCAAAACATTTTCTCAGCGTTCCTCCTATGTTATACATTATAGAAAACATACAGGTTCAAGACCATATGTTTGTGCTTGCGGAAATGGATTTGTGTGTAGAGCTATGTTAAGTGCACATGAAAAAACTTGCGCATTTGTTTTTCCCATGAATATGTATCAGACAATGTATTAAATTGTCAAATTATATTTTTATTTTTCCTTTAAATATTCAAGGTTTTTTGTTAATTTTTTCAACCTTAAAGTAATATTATATTAATGAAGATAAATTAATTTTATTCATTCATTTATTAATGATGATCCATGATGAAGATATTAGTATATTATATTTTTATTATAGAGTGAAAGTTATCTTTATATATTGAAGAGATAATATATATTTTTAAGATGTTTATAACATAGATTTTGCATTTAAATTTTAAATATTTGTTTAGGATTTGTGATTTTCAGTTCTTATTAACTTAATTTGTTTTAAAAAAATTATATATATAGTAAATATTTTTTTCTTGAGGGGCAGACAACTCATAAATATACCATAAATGTTATATAACTTGTTTAATGTTATAAGTGATATTAAGTACATTTGTATATATTTGTTTCACATTTTCTCAGTAATAGTGTTCAAAACATTTCTTTAAATGTATATCTATAAATTCAATAAGCAGTTTTTTATTTATTTTTTTTTATCATTATCAACTGTAGAAAAAAGAACAATAGAATCCAATTTTAATTAATAAACTAGTTATTACATTTTATAAAATTCATTACTTCTTATTTTCTTTTAGTTTTTTTTTTTTCATGGAAATAAGAAGTATAAATTTCAGGTGAATTTAAAATTAATCACACAAATTTACTAATAAACAATTTCCTGTTAATATAATGATGTTTTTAATTTATTTTTGCTGTCAATTCCAGATCTGTATTTAGATTTTAACCTTTACTTTTATATGCTAGAATAGTATTTAATAACACTTTAAACTATGTCTAGTTTAATCTATTTTTTGTACCTTTGAAGTTAAACTATATAGAAATAATTACACATAGTTGTTTGCTTCACTTTGATGTCCGTTTTCACCATGAAAACAAAACGAAGTTCGAATTTTTTTTTCTTTCATATTAAGGTATATTACTTAAGCTTTAATTTAAGATATATATAAAAATGTCAGTATTTCCGGAACATTTTTCCAGAAATACTGACATTTTTAAAAATTTAGTTGAAAAAATTCTACTTTCTATATACATTTTTAAGTATTGAACCCCCCTGTATAAAAGGAAATGGTCCGATTAAAGAAAAGTAAGTCCAATAAAAGAAATATATAAATAGTATGTATTTATCATAAAAAATTGCATTGAACAATATACATTTCAAAAATTTATAAAAATATACTACTTTATCATTTTTTATTATTTCTCCATAAAAATTTCAATATTAAATTATTAAATTTTAATTTCATACTATATTTAATTGCTATAATAAATATTTATTTATAAATTATACTTGTAAATATAAGAACTACTAATTAGGATATAATTAAGGAAATAGGAGTTGATGTTGCTTTTGTAAGCACTATCTATAGACTTGTATTGAAGCGTTTCTTAAGACAGTGATTAAAATTACTGTCAGATCTATAGTTTTTCTATCTATCCTACGTATATACTGTGTCATACCCCCATTGTGCTACCGTTTTTTTGAATACAGCAGCCATTTTCATCGTGAAGACGAAATAAAGTTTTTTTTTCCATATTAAAGTATATTTCATAAACTTTAATTTAAGATATATATTTATATAAAAGTCAGTATTTCCGAAACACTTTCAAAAATTAAGTTGAAAAGGTTGTCATCTTGAATCCTCCCTTGTAGGCAGGTGAAGGGTCAGATTAAAAAACTATATATACCAAATATTAAGTAAATACCCAATACATTTATTTAAAAAAAATTGTTACTATTCATCTATTTTTCAAAAAGTTATGAGTTTTAAATAAAATAATTTTAAATATGTCGAAAATTACCGATTTTTAAATTTGTAATTTTTTTGGAGATTTTCCGCATTTACAGAGAACGAGGGAATTTTTTTCAATTTTTGAGGTTATTGTCTTCGACTAGATACGATTTGTAATAATTTGATGTATCGTCGATAGAATCGGTTCGGTGACAGCTGAAAAAAAGTGGTAACAGATACAAAAAATAAATAAAAAAGAATATATCATAGAAATGTAAGTACCTTCTCAGTTTCACATCGAACCTAAAAAAAGAGTAAAGTTTTTTCCACGATAGTCCTGACTAGGAGCTCTGTCATTCTTACTCAATGTTGGATAGCAGTCATATTCTTGTTTACAATTTCTATAAGATTTTTTTATTATAAATACTTTTTTAGATAATTACTAATAAGTAATTAAGCGATAACTACATAGTATAACTTTTGTTAAACAATTTTATGATTTTTAATAGATGTTATGCAAAATTTGGACTATTCTATCATTTAACCGATATTTTAATACTTTAACTTTAAAGTTGAGTTTAAGTGTTATTTGTCAAAAAAAAAAACTGAACAACTTTTGAATATAATTTTTGTTGGTTTAATTCACAATTATGAAACTTTTTTTGACAAATAGCTAATTGTATAAAGATTGATAAAATATTAATGTTTATTCTAAGTAAATATAAATCGGACAAATTTCTGTTAATAATCAAAGAAATTTAATGTGAAAATAAAACAATCGGTAAATAACAGCACAAAAAATTTTTTATTTAATAAGGACTTGTATTTTACATTATTAATGGCTAATATACCTGAAATCAAAACTTCTGCAATTTTCTGAAGTTTATACTAGAAAAAACATTCCTACATAAACAAACTTGAGACTCAAATACAGAGTTTTGGTTCAATGTATGTCACAAGTGGTAAGGTGATATTCAGTGGTAACAAAAATAGCGAAATCAAAAATTAAAATTTCCTAACTTTAAAATTGAGATTTTTCCGGTTTCCTACTCCAAATTTTATTTAAATCAATAATAAATATCATTACTGTATACTACCACAAAACTGTCTTACAAATTGGTCACTCGATTTTTTTGTAAATATCGCCCCTTCCTCTGAACTTTGAACTCCAAGTTTGAAAAAAAATTCACTTTAGTGTGACCCATCAAATATTATTAAAATTTTATTGGGAGTCACGTAGTGTGGTTTATTTCTAGATTAAATGATTACATAACGAGAAAAACAAAAAAACCCATGTATAATTTGATATTTTTTTGTTTGACTCATTAATAGTGATCAAGCTTTTTTGAACACTTAATTATGTTTTAATAAATATTAACAAGCACTGTGATATACCGTATTCTCAGTCGTGATTAATGTTGTAAAAAGTTGTCTCCGATTACATCATAATAATTAATTCAAATTATCTTGTAATAAAGTTTATAACGTTCAACAAAGATATTCATTTCAATCTTGTGGTTGTTTTATTTTCCCTACATAAAAAGTAAAGTAAAAAAAAAAAAAATATAATTATAATCTTTTTTGAACTTGTAGGTATACGGGTTTTCCGGTAAAATTAAAAAAATATAGCAATATCCGTGGGATTTTTGGTTTTCTTCATTATGTAATCATTTAAACTAAAAATAAATCACATCACAACTCCCAATGAAATTTTAATATAATTTGATGGGTCACATTAAAATGAAATTTTTTTCTAACTTGGAGTTCAGTTCCAACGTAACAATAGTCAGGCGCGGACGCCCTATCACGCTTACGTAAATTTTTTCTTATTAATAAACCTTATATTAATATATTAGTTTAAAATTAGTATCAAATAAAAGATAAAAGATTGGGCTACAAAGTCATCGTAAAATCAACCACTAGTTTTGGGGCTGGGGGTAATACATCGTTTTTGCAAACGGAATGCTGATTTTAAGATTGCGACATGGAATGTGACAAGCTTGTATAAAACAGGTGCTAGCCAAAATTTAGCTGAAGTTCTTAACAAATACAAAATTAAAGTAGCAGCCATACAAGAAATAAGATGGTTGGGAGTAGGACAACTAACAATTGGAGAGTACACAATTTTCTTCTCTGGAATGGAAAATATACATCACTTCGGTAGTGGTTTTGCAGTTCATAGGACATTAGTACCATACATTAAAGAGTTTAATCCAGTATCTGAAAGGATATCAATATTAACCATCAACACTAGCCCAATTAATATTTGTATAGTAAATGTACATGCACCTACGGAATTAAAAGATGATAATGTGAAAGATGCCTTCTACGACAAACTAACTGATACATATGAGGGCATTACTGGGAATGTGATAAAGATTGTAATAGGTGACTTCAATGCAAAATGCGGACGGGAACCACAATACTTCTCTTATATAGAAAAAGAGAGTTTGCATAGTAACAGCAATGTCAACGGTCAGCGATTGATAGCGTTTGCAACATCAAATGGGTTGATTATTAGTAGTACTACGTTCCCACACAAAAATATTCACAAAGTCACGTGAAGGTCACCGGATGGCGAAACCTTGAACCAAATTGACCACGTCCTCATACAGACTAGATACCGTAGTACCATTTACGATGTAAGAAGCCAGAGAGGCGCCGATTGTGACACGGATCACTACTTAGTGATTGCAAAACTTAGATCAAAGTTAAAAAGCCAATCGAAATTAAAGCAAGAAAAAAGGATCAAAATTAATCTAGAGTTACTCAAAGATGAAATCGTGAGGAAGAATTATGAGAACGAAGTCACGAAGAACCTTAAAGAGAATAATGCACAAATGAACATAGATCTGGATTGGGAAATTGTGAGAAACGCTGTTAACAAAGCAGCGGCCACTAGTATTGGTGAGCTAAAAAGGTCAAGAAATACTTGGTATAATGATATCTGTAGAGTTGCTGTAGACAGACGCCGAAAATCGAGAAATGAATTTATTAAAAATAACACTCAAATGACTAAAGAAAGTTTCATACGGGAACGTAAAGCCTGCAAAAGTACCCTTCAAAGGGAAAAAAGGAAATTTTTTAGCAACATACTTCAAACAGCAGAGAACGACCATACACAAGGGAGAACTAGAAACTTTTTTAGAGTCATTAAACAGTATAAGCATTTTAACCCTATATGGAATGCAATCAGAGACCAAGACGGACAAATGCTAATGGAACCAGAATCAAGAGCTGAGAGATGGAAAGGTTATTTTGAAAATTTACTAAATCGGAGAATACCAGATCAGCCTGTAGCTCATATCGATTATGAAAGAGCGGAGCCCTATGTCGAGGATGTTAGCCTAGAAGAAGTAAAAAGTGTATTATTTGGCCTGAAAAATTGGAAAGCACCGGGTATCGATAATATTCCAGCAGAACTCTTAAAATACGGAGGTGAGGAGCTACATTTAGTAATCCACAGACTGTGTCAGCTAATATGGATGGAAGAACGAGTACCGGATAGCTGGAATGAGGCAATCATCATACCATTGCATAAAAAGGGAGATAAGACAAAGTGTGACAATTATAGAGGGATATCGCTCTTAAACTCCGCGTACAAAGTCTTCTCTAGGATATTACTGAATCGCATTATCCCTTATGCAGAGGATTGCCTAGGTGAGTACCAATGTGGTTTTCGGAAAGGTCGTTCAACCACAGAACAATTATCCATAATAGATCAAATAATTGAAAAGAGATACGAATATCGGCAGAATATGTTACAACTCTTCATAGATTTTAAAAAGGCCTATGATAGTATACACAGAGAGAGTCTCTACAATATTATGGATGAGTTTGATTTCCCAAAAAAGTTAATAGCGCTAACTAAAATGTGCATGGAAGACACGAGGTACAGAGTAAGAACACAGAATGTAACATTGGAAACCTTTACAGTGGAAACCGGACTAAAACAGGGGGATGCTCTTTCCCCAGTACTTTTCAATCTTGCCCTAGAGAAGATAGTAAGAATACTACAGGATAATGAAGGTGGTTTACTAATCGGCCAGAATAAGATACGGCTCCTCGAATTCGCTGACGATTTGGATATACTTGGCGATTCGCTTGCAGACACAGCTAACGCTGCCAGAGTACTAGAAGAAGCAGCGAAAAAAATTGGTCTTGAAATAAATACTGAGAAAACGAAGATAATGGAACTATTAGATAGTGGGGAGGACCCCAGTGAGGTGGAGAATTTAGCATACGAAATAATTAGCGATTTTAAATATCTGGGAGCAACGTTAAGTACAAAGAATGATTGGTCAAAGGAAATAAGTATTCGGATAAATAAAGCTCAAAAAACGTTCTACACAATGATGAAAATCTTTACATCCAAAATTCTATCTAGAAAAACGAAAGCAAGATTGTACACGGCTATTATAAGACTGATTCTCACGTATGGTTGCGAAGCGTGGACAACGACCAAACAAACAGAAAGAAACCTGAGGACTTTTGAGCACAGAGTGTGGAGGAAAATATGCGGACCCGTCATCAATGAAACTACGGGGAATTAGCGGAGAAGATACAACAGAGAACTATATGACATGTTGGAAATAGCACCGGTAACAAGTTTTATTAAGGGCCAAAGAATACAATGGTTAGGACACATAGTGAGATGAAGAGAGAACGATATAGCCAGGGTAGCATTGGAATGGAAACCACAAGGGAAAACACCTAGAGGGAGGCCAAAGAAAAGATGGATCGACGTGGTAGAAGAAGATTTAAGAAGCCTTAGAGTTGAAGACTGGAGAGAGACAGCCAAGATAGAGATAGGTGGCGAAGCGTAGTAATGGCGGCAAAAACTCTTAGAGAGTAGGAATGCCAGTAAAAGAAGAAGAAGAAAATTAGTATCAAATAAAAGATAAAAGATTGGGCTACAAACTCATCGTAAAATCAACCACCAGTTTTGGGGCTGGGGGCCTCTAGGTAAGAATTTTCTTACATTTTAATTAATATATAACATACACAATGCATAACAATATTACCTCACCAACCACTCCACTAGCTCATAAATCAGATAAGGCTAAACCGATAACACTGATCACTATAATAAACAGAAATTCAATTTCACTAACTTCTAAATCGATGAATAACACATTTACTTTTTCTGATAATGAAAATGAAACCGACTGGTCAACTATCATCTCAAATAGTAAAGATAAAAGAAAAAAAAATTCATCACCCAGCTCGTCTCAAAAATCAAAACAACCTAACTATAACACAACAAATAATTTACGACAACTCGGTCGTTTTTCTATTTTAACCTCAGATATCCATGATTATAACGACATGGAAATAATTGATGCACAAAAACCAAAAATATCAACCACCCCACCTATTTTTATAAAATCAGATCTCGATTATAAAGGCTTTTGTAAAGCTATACAAAAAACTATAGGCTCAAATGCATTTAGTTATAAAAGTAGTATTAAAGGATTAAGACTGCAAACCAATACACCGGATGAAAAATTGTACGCTTGTTTAAAGGAAAAAATGTGAACTTTCACACATATCAAATACAACAAGATAAACCTTATAGAGTCATTTTTCGTAATTTGCACCATACCACTCCAGTAGATTATATAAAACAAGAACTGGCAATTCATGGTTATAACGAGTTACAAGTAGTAAAAGTATTACAAAGTAGAACCAAAATACCACTACCTCTTTTAGCTTCGATGCGAAGCTGAGAAGGTATTAATTTTACCATGATGTGTTTATTTTTTTATTTTATTTTTTTTTTTTTTTTTTT